AAAATCCCACTCAGCTGCCTAAATCTTTATGAAACAAGCTTTGTTAAGAAATGGAGAGAAATACAAAATAAAAGACTGTCACCTTACATTCCTAGATTTAGAATGCATTAAAATGTAAGAATACAAGTACCACATTTCCAGAGCCTCAAAATAACTAAATTCTTACAGGTTTCTGGAGAACAGTCTTTGAACTGGAACCTGTTGTAAACAATGTAAGATACCACAGAAATCGTCTCAGGGATTTTGATGTTATTCTGGACTGATATTTTGTCAGGAAGGTCTCGTCATAGCCTGACCAACCCTTGTTTTCTAGCAAAAATACCTTTGTATTTGCAGATGCATGTTCTGTAGATTCATTAACTTGGACTCCATGTCAACTCTTTCACAGAAAACTTCGTTACAAGCACTGTGATTTTGGCAACAGCTGTACCACTAGATTTTAGCAGCGTTATTTAGAATCCTAACTCCTCCTGCCTAGGACTTTGAAGGGACTTGCTCCTTCTTGGAAACCATTTAGGTGAAACCTCCTACCTAAAGCTAAAATTGCTTTAAAATGGCTTCAGGGATGTAGCTGTGTTGTTCTAAGGACATAGGCAGACAAGGTTCTTTGAGTAAATCCGATATCTTTTATTAGAACAACTCAGATAGTCGGAAAAAAAATTCTTAATGAGCTTTTGGGCACCAATGCCCTTCGTCAGGCTGAGGAAGTGTCTGCAGATGGTCTGTGCTCTTCCTGGATAGAGTGGTAAAGCAGCCAGAGGCCATTATGGATGCAAGAAAGCCAGTCAGTTAAAATGTAAATTGAGGTGGTCTGCAGGTGAGAGACAGGTGGGGAGTGGGGTAAGGGGGAATGAATGTATCTCTAGCTGAAGGATAAGAGACAGAGGTGGGGAGGGGAATGAGAATAGCTGGCAAAAAGTGGAGGATTTACCTGGGAGTCAGATGTTAGGCAGGTTATAATGTGTCATAAATCCAATGTCTATATTTAGTGAATGATTTTGTGTATCCAGGAGACTGATGTAGTGAAGTTCATGGGCTTGTCTGTGAAAGGTGTTTTGTAAATTCTCTTTGAGGATTAGAACCGAGAGATTGGAGAGAGAGTGGAGAAATGTGGTCCCACAGGTTGTTGGGTATTCTTGTCTTTCATAGATTTTCAGTGTGCGTTCATTCTGGTACAAACTTGTTGTTTTGTTTCTCCTACATATTTTCCATCAGGGCATTTGGTGCACTGGATGTATCTCATTTTGGAGGTGCAGAAATTTGCTTGGAATTTTCTCTATAATTATATATTATAACTGATGGATGGAGTACAGAGGTTAGCCTTGTTAGAAGACAGGCAGAAGGTATAGCATCTTGGAGACTAACTGATTTAGAGAGGCATGGTTTTGTAGGCAAAACCTACTTTGTCAGATGCTAGGAATGGACTGTCAGAAAGTCTATGGAGTTAAAGGCTCATTTTCTTCTATCTAAGAATGAGTGGGAAAGCAAATAACTTTCTGAGGTCAAGCTTTAAAAATATGGCAGTATTTCATATATTAGGAGCTTGACTTTGCAAGAGATGCAGGGTCTATACTACTGGATATAAAAGATCAGCAGAATCATCACGGGTTTTGCAACCTGGCCTCTGACTCCAGCAGAAACCATCATATATACTCCTTGATCAGGATTATCCACTGAGCCCACTTGGATGGTATCACACTTTTGTTTGATTCTTTCTACCTGAGCTCTGATTAGCATAGGTCTCAAATTTTGAATATTTATGATTTTGTAACAATAATGAAGGCTTATTCTCTAGCTCATGGAAAAACAAGCATCTTCTCAACAAGCTGCCAACCCCTTGCTTCTGCATGGTTCTGGGTACTTCAGTTAAGTGGCCTTTCTTGATCCCTTTGCATATGTACAGAGATGTAAACAAGGGTGCAGACAGAATTGACAATTTTTGTCTTATCTGGCGACAGGAAGCAGTTTATAGCCATGATCAAACACAAGCACACAGTTGCAAACAGCATAAAAATGGCTGAGTGGGTGAAAATCTGACCCCTCATTGCATGAAGTTTCAGATAAAGATGTTTCAAAATGTTCCATCTTTTGTAATTTCTGTCTGCTCTGCCTCCCAGCTTGTCACTGTTTTCAGAATGGGAGGGGGGAAAGGTAGTGGAGGGAGTTCAGTAGGGGGGGTTTCAGCCCCTTGGAGGGTGGGGCATGTGTATTGGAGCCTCCCTAGGCAGGCTTCGCCCACCCCAACCTTCAGCACCAGCTGGGGAGCCCCACGAACAAGCTCCGTCTGCTGCCTTTCCTGCCTCCCATTCGGAAAACAGGGAGCACAGGCAGAGAGCCATGGCCAGTGCTAGGGGAACATGTCTGCAGGCTCCCAGCCACCAGCTAGATTCTCCTCCTCCCTGGAACCAACAGTGAACTTGTTTGATTCAGTGTTACCACCTTTTGTCATGTATTGCAACTCATATGATTTCTGGCAGTTTTTAAAAAGCCCAGGCTCCCACAGCCGTGTCATAGTCTCAGTTCTGATTTATTTTTACATTACATTACCGATCTTCAAGGTTACAGAGAACATCTTGAAAACATGAAACCCAAAGACGAGAAGGCAGTAAAAAAAAGTGTGTGTGTATGTATGTATGTATGTATGTATGTATGTATGTATTAATTAGGGAACTACGTATGTATGTATAATTAGGGACCAATTTAATTTGTGGTTTCTCTGATTTCATGGAAACCACAAAATCTGGGATTGTTTGCAAAATCCACAAAATCAACAACAAAAAAACCCGTAATAAAAATAAAATGCTAGCACATTCCCCTCACTGCTTGGAGGGGAAGATTCTAGCTGGTGTGATGGCACAAAGGTCAGCAGACAAGATGGTTTCTGCTTCATTATCCCTCCTCCCCCACCCAGGCCTTTCCGGCAATCAGAGCTGAGGAGCAGGGCCTCTCTCTCAATCACTGCTAAGGGGCAGGACTCTCTGCCAATCAATGCTGAGAGGTGGGGATGCTGAGAAATGACCTCAGAATGGGAACTTTACTCACAGTCCACTGGAGAAAATTAGTAAATTCCCCCATGACTTAGAATATCCCTATATAGAATATCTCATGGTTTTAAAGCCATTCATGATATTCTGGCCCCAATCATGATTTTGAATATTTAAGACTAGCATCCTCTTATATGTATGCTTAGTGAAGCCCCAGATCACACAACATTGTGGGGGAGAATGGCTTGGGACTCAGGAAACTGTATGAGGAATTGGGAAATCTGGGCTTCAGTCTGCTCCACGACAGATTTCCTAGATGATTTTGGGTACAGCAGTTAACTGCTCTCTGGTTCTGTTTTTAATTGGTAAAAGTAGGGGCAATAGGATTTCCTTGCCTTACTGGAACATTTTGAGAATCAGTACATTTAAAAATATATAAATTTTGGAGCCAGTGGAGCTCCATGTTGGTACAAGTTTCTACTTACCTGCAAAGCTGCAGAATAAGGGATTTAGGGCAGTTGTACGCATGATGGGGTTTAGTCCTCAGGGTTTTATTCTCTGCCCCCTAAATTGAAATGGTTGTTTTTTAACTGAAACCCATTTCAATTTTTCCATCACGTTATTGTGAGGAGCCTGATCTTTTTTTTTTTTTGGCACAGCTGGAGCCTGCCTCGGGCTGAGGGGCAAGCTGCTAGTGGGCTGAGTGGCCCCTAAGCTGCAGGGGCCCCATGTCATTCCCTCCATGGCAGTGGCACCCGCAGGGCTGCTAGCGGGCCGGGTGCTGCCCCAACTTGGAGGCAGCACCTGGCCTGATCCAACTCTTCCCTGACCCTGAGCTGGGACAGCACCCAACCAGCTATCAGCCTGCCTGGGCAGCCCTAGGGAGTGCTGCTGCTGGAGAGGGAAGGACTCAGGGGTTGCTCAGCCTGCTGGTAGCTCATCCTCTGGCTGTGAGAGAGGTGACTAGGCTCTGCTGGAAAAAAAAAAAGAAAAAGGATTGGGCCCCTCACTGCTTCTGGCTTCAGCAGATGCCTGCAGCTGGCAGGATGCCTGGAGCTGCCTGAAAACAGGCTGGCTTGCCCCTAGGTCAGCATGGGAAGGCAGCAGGAGGGGGTCTGGGTTTGTTGGCAGCCAGAGAAGGCAGCGGGGATTGTGCACGGGGTGCTGGAAGTGCAGGCAGGCTGTTAGCTGGCCAGGTGCTGCTCCCGTTTGGAGATGCCTGATCCAACACTTCCCTAAGCCCACCCAGACTTCCAGTACCTCACGCACCATTCCTGCCACTTTCTCCAGCCACTTGCACACCCTACTGCCCTCCTGCCACCTTTCTGTGCTGCCCCAGGGGCAAGCTGGGTGTGCTGGTGGCCAGAGAAGGCATTGGGGACAGTGCATGGGGTGCTGGAAGCCCGAGCGGGCTTGGGGAAGCATTGGATTGGGTGCCTCCGAACTGGGGCAGCATCCAGCCAGCTAGCAGCCTGTCTGGGCATGCCCGCACCCTATGCATTGTTCCACCAACTTCTCCAGCCACCAGAAACCCAGCCACGCTCTTGTCACCTCCCCGTGCTGCCCCAAGAACAAACCAGCCTGTTCCCACACGGCTCTTGTCATCCTGTTGGCTTCAGGAGCCTGCTAAAAGCAAAATTGGCAAGGGGCCTGATCTTTTTTTTCTGCAGAGCCTACCCACGTCTTTCATGGCTGGCGGGGGCTTGCTAACAGCTGCATCATTATCATTGCAATTTGCAATGATGCAAACTCATCTAAAACCCTCAAAACTGGCATACGTGTAATGTGTGACACCATTAAGCCACACAAATGTGTGACAAAAATGCACTAGTTTCCCATCAAGTAGCTCCCTTAGTGGGCAGAGTCTACAGAACATAGACCTGTATTTGGTCTCTAAAGGGCCCTAGCACATACGATAGAAATAACATTGTATATTTTACATGCTCATAATTAAGGGTAGGAAAGGAAAAGCATTGCAGAGGAATTTACACCATATGTATTCCTTTTTATTATTAGCTGGAAGCAAAACTACTATGAAGATAAGAGGACATGAAGGTGCACTTCCATCTCATTTTCCTGTTGCATGCATGTACTGTAGTTTTAGGTAAGTTTTGGTGTGAGAACAGTGCTGGGTTGTGGTATAGTGAGACTATGACTGCAGACCCCTGTCCTGCCCCAGGGATCTGTGATGCAATAAGAAGAACAGATGATTAAACATGGAGTGAAACCTGCTAGAAGTAGAGAATCAGCTTGGATTTAAATTTGAGAAAGAAGAAAGCATAGAGACTCACCTAGTTTACTCTCTTTATTTTGTTCATAAATATTTCCACACTTACAGGACTTGAAGTAGTAACTGGGCAGGTTTCCAAAGACTGCATTCTGCCATGCTCCTTTCCACGTGGTGAAGAAGTAGTAATTCACTGGAAGAAAGAACTCCAAAATGTGCACAGCTACTACAGTGGGCAGGACCAACTAGCAAGCCAAGACTTTCAATACCGGGGTAGAACAGCCCTCTTTCATGAGGGAATTCCCAGTGGAAATGCCTCCTTAAAACTGAGTAAACTACACCCGGCCGATGAGGGCTTCTATTCTTGCTATGTGGGGACAAAACAAACGAGAACAGAAGTGGAAGTCAAACTGTCCATACAAGGTGAGCAAAACCCTTAAAACACATGAAGATTCAAGCAGCAAATCCTTTCATTTTCTTTGCCACTTGACATTGAAATACCCTTGACCAGTGGTGCCCAAGCTTTTGCCCCATGGGCTGGCTGGGCAGTGCCTGGTCAATTTGTAGGTTGGATCTGGTCTGTGGGCCCAATCTAGTGTGTGGGGCAGGTGTGGCAGGAGCCTGACTCAGCTGCAGGTGTGGGGCAGAGGTAGGGGACATGAACCAGCTCTGATCCAGCCATGTGGGGACAGGGTAGGGGGCGGAATGTGGCTCAGCCCCAATTCAGCCATGCAGGGGGAGCGAGGGGGCATATCCTGGTCCTGATCTTACTGCACAGGGCTTGGGAATTTGGCAGCAGGGAGTGGTGGCGGTATTAATTGCCACTGCTCCCATGCTGCCAAATTTCTTGACTTGTGGGGAGCCATGTGGGCTGGATGCCCAACCCCTGCCCCAGACTCTGAGGTTCTGCACTCCTGGGCAGCTCTGTACTTTACCATTGCACTTCAGCTACAAAATATATTACAAGTAAGTTACAGCAGAGGTTGAGAACTTCTCCACATAATTGGAGGTGACAGTTACTACAGGGCTATAGGTTGGCAGGAGGGAACTGGATACTGGATGGCCATCAGTACAGTGTGGATACCAAGGGGAGTTTGGAAGTCAGTGAAATGTGAATAAGGTGAACGCTACAGTGTGGGTGCGTCTACACAAGATGCTAACTGCACAGTAGTGTTAGGCTACTGCACAGTTAGCATCACTAAAAAGCTGTGCACCAGTGCTAGTATGCAGTAGCACCAGTTACTGTACATGAATTTAGTATTTAGTTATGCAAGTACTAAAGTTATGTGCAGTAGCTACAGCACATTAATGAACATGTAAACACACCCTGTAATCTGAAGTAAATGCATATAATTGTGTTTAGCTCTGCTCTGGAGATTGTCTTCTACATTTTTGTCTTTATAGCTCCCCCTCATTATGCAATGGAATATGAAAAACAAGACTCTGAGGGACAACTGAAATGTTCTGCCTTTCTTGGCTATCCTAAGCCTAATATTACATGGCAAGACTGCTGTATATCAAGGGAAGACACAAGAACCGAAAGAACACAGGATGGACTTTATTCAGTTAGAAGTGAGAAGATTATTACAGACAAAGCTTATTCTTATGTGTGTCGCATTCAGTTTGGGGATCAGATCTGGACTGCTGACTGGAAGAGGGCAGGTGGGTTTGAACTATTTTCCATTCCTTGAACCAAATAAAGTGCAGAAGAGCTTTCTGAAGAGCTGGTCCATAAGGAAAGCAGTGCATCTACATGGTGATGGCTTGGCAATGAGATGAGATTTAAGGTTGCATCATGTTCAACTAAGGTTACATGGCTCAGATAATCAGAAAGCTGGGATGGCCAGCCAGCCTGTGAAATAGAAATGACTCACTGACAATCATTCCACAAAGAGGTCTCTGTGAACTACACCTGATTTGCTCTGTGTTGGATTCATATAAGCAGTTTTATATGCCCTATGTTGCATAATAACGATTTTTGCATCATTTCAAAGACAGAACAGTTCGGCAAATAAATTTGTGGACCATAGTGAGCCTGACTTGAATTTTGAGTTTGTTACACATTCATATAGTAGCTTGGAAGTCAATGCAAACTCATTATGACAGAACTCCACCAAATATTAAACCTTTGCTATGGCCAGCTGGAGGTGACCATGCATGCAGTTAGTCTTGCTTGGTTACACTGCAATAATTCTATACTATAACAGCACTCAGAATAGAATTCGAGAAAAATAGTGCCAGGAGGGAGCTCAGGAGTTTATCTAGTCCAGGCACCTGCTCAAGGCAGGATCATCTCTGTCTAAAAGATGTGACAGCCCAGATTTGGGAAGCATTATGTAAGGTACAGTGGATCTCAAACTTTTTAGACTCAAGGAACTGAGAGGAAAATGCCAGTTCTTGGTTTTCACACTTTTTTTAACCACAGAAAAACAACAGAGCAATTCTTTTTTTGCAAAGAACTCAGAAAGACCGTAACAGGTCAGAATGTTTTTAACACTGTGGAATCCCATGTGAAATCTCTGGTTGTTTTAATTAGAGCGGCTACAAGAGATCTAACTAAAAAAGTGCCCGAAGCGTCATATGTACCAGTATCCCCATGCTCGATTAATCGAGTCTGCTCCGATGCACTGTAATTACAACCTCTCTGCATGTGTATAAGCGCCCTCTGGGATTATCTTGTGAATCCTATTTGCAGACCTAGCTGTGCTAACATTGTGTGGCACCTCCAGCATCCTTGAAAGGATCTCAGGGAACCCCAGGCTGCTGTGGTTAAAAATAACTGGCATAGGCCAGTGTTTGATAATCTTTATCAGACATGGGCCTGAACAACCCAGCTCTGATCCAGCTTTGGCAGTGAATAAGTGGCAGAGGGGCTTTCTCCACACTTGTGCTGCTATGGGCACAGCTTCCAGCCTGCGGGGAGATGCACCAGGGCTGGACAACTGGAAACTGTGTCCACTCCAACACTGCTTCTCTCTGTTGTCCTTCTCCCCCGGCTGCAATGTGGGAACATGCCTTTCTCGGTCATGGCCCATGGTGACACAGCCAGGCATGAAGCTCAGTTCTTGCTGACGTAAAGCATCTTCCTGGTCTCCTCCACCCAAAATGAAGATCAAGGGTAATACAATAAAAAATTGTCATTTTCTCAATGTTAACTATTTCCCTGCTAGTTATTACATTTCATGAGTTATTTCCACTGCTGTTGTTTGCTTTAGGAATTGTGAAATAGTGCTAGTTGAGGCTTCCCCCCACCCAGTGTTTGTTTATTTTTATATAGTTGACTAAAGTAAAATATTGAGCACAGAAACAAAGATTGGTATCCAGATATTTTCAGAAATGATCCTTACCCATTTGAAAGTTGTATGATATTTAAATCAATTTAATATTATTTTAAACAAAATCAGTCACCTTTGCTATAAAAATTTAAACCGTTAACTGAAAATATGTAAAAGTCCAAATTATGGCATCCTTTGTGGTCTTTATTGTTTGCACTTCACACAGTTGTGATCAGTGGTTCTCAACTTTTCCAGACACAGGGCCCTCCTATGTAGACTCAAGACACCCCTCAGAAAATGCCAGTTCTTAGCTTTCACTCATTTTTTACTCTGTTGAACAAAGAACAGTTTTTCTGTTGCAAAAAACTCAGAAAGACTGCAATAGGTCAGAAAGTCTTTGTCACTATTAATTCCTCTTTGAAATGTCTGGATTTATCTTGTGAATCATGTAGGTGTTTGCACACCTAACAGTGCTAATATTATGTGGCACTCCTGCAGCACTGCTGAATAGATCTCACAGCAGGCTAGGGTGCTGCTGCACCATGATTGAGAATGACTGACTGGTTTAGACTGTGAATAGAGATCAAATTGGCACAAGACACCTGCCTGCGAAAGTGCAAGAGTATGAACTCTTATTGCCAATCAGTTTCAGTGCTTGATTTTTGGAAGATGACAGTATTATGCAGGGAGACAGAAGGGGGGAAAACACACAGCAAAAAAACCCCAACAAGAAATATCTGAAACCTTTAGTAAGAGATGGGTTTTTAAATTTCATTTTAACAAATATTAGGACTACAACTACAGTGCCTGAAATATCCTGTAAAGAAGTGGCTTTTGTATGCATACATTTGGAAAAGCTTTCAACACAATTATATCAATGTGCTCAAATATTCTTTGATAATGAGGCACTAAATCATATGAAAATGCTCTGAAAACTGACTGTTCTTCACAACAGCTTCCTCTGACTATTGCATTCCCATTTAACAGGTAATGCTTTTAATTATATATTTCAGATCTACTTTGTAGAAGTGAAGGAGGTACTGCCATAATCCCATGTGAAGTTTCTGAAGAAAGTTCCTCATACACTATTACTTTGAAAGCAATAAAAAGTGCATCTGCTTCTGTTCTGGCATCCTTCAACAGCACATCAAGAAGCCCTGTACTTCTGCCACAAAGGTTCTCTTTGGACAAAGACAAGCCAGCTAAATATAAGTTAAGGATAAGTGGCCTGACTCTAGATGACCAGGGAGAATATCTGTGTAATGTTTCAACACCTCAGTACACAAAACTGACTATAACAACTTTACAAGTTGGTAAGTTGCTGTGATTTCCCCATTGCTAGACCTCCCTTGGGAGAAAATGGTTAAATCTGTCTAGTGTCAAGGAAAATTCTCTCTCAGGAGTCCTTCAAAAGATATGGGGAGGAAGAAATATTGTGGTGTTATTAGAGAAATATTGAGCTGGATCAGAAAAACCACACAGGTTTACCTTGTTGACTGCTGAGATTTTTGCACTTTACTGACCTCAAAAGATTGTCTGTCCTTCAGCAACTCTTTCTGGACTTGGTCCCATGTGGTGCAGAGAGCTGTCAATACCTACTGACTTCAGCTGGAAATGAAAGTGCCCAGCAACTTGCAGGCTCAGACTGTCAATGCTGTATTGAGGGAGAAGTTTTTTTGGCTACCACGGCCTTTGCACACTTGATGAGGGTCTGGAAGACAAATGGTTACTTTTGGCAATCATGGGTTTTGGCTTTTTTAGATTTTATGCTATTATAGCAATCTGTTTTTCAAACATAAATGCATGGGTGTGCATACCTATATTTTATGGGTATTTCACATTTGCAGCTGTGATAACTCTTTTATGTTATTTCCTTCCCTTCATTTTCCAGGGAAGTTACCACTATTGCTTCCATGTCTTGCCTGGGTTTTCTGGCCAAAGGCCAAAAAAAAATATAATGAAATTCAGGTTAATAGAAGTATAACATAAATAAATTATAAGGAGAATAGTCATTTGGAGTTTTATCTCCTTCCTTTGTAGTGGCACCTACAGAACACAATCTCCTCATCCAGTAGCACCTGAGAAGCTGTAGCTGTTAAATGAACTTGCTTAAAAGACTGAAGTAGGACCTGGTTTAGAGTTCCTGATACTGTCTTAAGATGAGAACTGTTGAGCACTTTGTCAGGTTGATGGAAAATAATTTGGGAGAGAGGCATCTGGTGTAGAAATGTATATCTGTGAGGTATTTGCATGGAGATGGTATTTGAATTGTGTTAGTCCAGGGATTTTTAACAACCTTTTTTAACAAGTGTACCCATTCTGCCTTAAAGTATCAGCTCATGTACCTCTTCATATTTTTTTCTTGTTTTTAAGGGGTGGGGGGAGGGAGGCAGATCAAGGCCCCCATGGTGATGGAGGGAGTGTTGTTGGGGCTGGGGTAGGGGCAGGGGCAGACACAGCAGAGGTGGGGTAGAGTGTGGAAGGGAGCCACAAGAGCTGTCTGTCCAGGGGGTGCAGGGAGTGGGGGAGTGGCTCCTGCTGCTCTGCGCTCCCTGGTGGAGGCCTGGGGGGCATGTGCCCCCCAGATCTCTGCATGGGGCGGAGGCAGATGCTGCTGCAGGCTGGACTCTGCACTCTGCTGCCACTGCCCCAAAAGCCGCGCAGTGCCATGTGCCTGCTTCTGCCGGGTAGGCAGTAGACATGGACACATATGCAGATACAGAAACATACACAGAAACCCTCCCCCCACAGCAGGTAAGTGTGTGTGGGGGGAAGGGGCAGGGCAGGGCAGGGGAGGGGGAAGGGGCTGGGAGGACCAGGTGGAGGAGGGGGGTTGGTGTGTCCATGCCTGCGCTTAGGAGCAGGGCTGGAGGGGCGTGGGCAGCGGTGCTCCCTGTGGGTTACATGCGCACTGCCTGGCTTGCCAGATGGATGGAGGGAGGGGGGGCTCATATGCTGCTGCTGCCACTTCCATGCGCTGCTGCAGCCGCTGCCGTGCCTCCCACCGCTTTCCTGCAGCTGGTTGCACACGTGGCTCTGTGGGCTGCTGGCAGGCCTCGCACCTCGCCAGTTGTGTGCTGCTCATCAGCAGCTTGTGGAACTGCATGTGCAGCCAGCTGTAGGAAAGTGGCATGGGGCACAGCAACAGTGGCAGTGGCACGCTGGCGGTGGTGGCTACCGCATGTGAGTGCCCCACCCCACCCAATTGGCACGTGCGGCCTGCAGAGGGGCACCGCTGCCCTCGCCTCCCCCGGCCCTGCTACTGGGAGGGGGCACAAAGAGCGGACAGAGAGGATGGGCTAGAAAGGCTGTGGGGGGTGGGGAGGTGCTGCGGTGTGCCGTGTGGGGCATGGGGCGTCCCCCTCCTGGGTAAGAAGCAAAGTATGGGAACACACCGGAGGAGATGCCACTCTGCTTCTGATATGGCAAAACCCCTGCTGAAAGGAGTACTTCTGGGGACAATAGGAGGGACTTTGGGTGGCAAAGGTCAGGGGTTAGGGGGCAGGGGCAGGGAACCTGTCAAGGGGCGGGGCTGCCCATGTGGCCCTCGACAGCTTGCCAAAACTCAGTAAGCAGCCCTCTGCCCGAAATAATGGCCTGCCCCTGCGCTATCGGAAGAAGCAGCACATTACTTCAACTTGGCTCTGAATGTCTAAAAAGATCAAGTGTTTCAGGGGGGCTTTTTGGCATTTCTAGCTAAAGCTGATTCAATCAGCTATTAGATAAAAGCACCAAAAAAGCCCTACTAAAGAACCCGATCCTTACAGATGCTACAGAGCTGGGTTGAAGTACTGTGCTGTCTCCTCTGGGCATGCGTGGGGCTCAACACAGGAATGTGCCAAGTTAGAAGTAAAGCACTGGGTTTTTTTTATGTCTGTAAGCAAAAAAAAAAGTCAGTGCCTATGTTCCTAATTCAGCTGTTTCTTCTTTTAGAGTACAGTACAGCATTGATTCTCTGGAATAACCAGTGTCATGATCATTCTGGATGGTCAATTTTTCTGGATAAGCAAACACCACACTAGGAAGTACTGAAAACTATACTTTAATTTTTGTAATGGACAGCAAAGAAATGGCGGTACTGTGTAATGCAGTAGGCGCGTACATTACCAGAGGCAGAACTTTGTTACGCTAATTATCATTGTAGATCAGTGGTTCCCAGTCTGTGGTACACATACCACCAGTTGTACGCAGACAACCTGTTAACAGATTTATTATAATTACTTTATATGACAAAAATTTGCTGGTGGTACTTAATGTTGTATTGTTTTTAAATTGGTGGTGTACAATCTGTTAGTTTGGGAACCACTGTTCTAGATAATCAATGCTCTACTGCATTTAGAAATGGACACAGTATTCCAGCTGAAGGCAAAATTCTCTGTTTTCAGTGATTCTCCATCCCTTTCCTTATCCATCTTAATACTGTAATTTTTTTTGACTGATGCTCACTGAGCCTATGGCTTAGCTGAACTGTCCACAGTGATGTCTAGATTTTTTCCACGACTTGTTCCAGTAAAGTAGAACTGAATAAAAAGTGCTTATATGCATTTATCAACACAGTTTATTCTCCATTCATGGTGCCCTTTATTTGGGTCTTCTTTCAAGTAGTCAGGAGTTGAATTTTAGGTGACAGTTGTTATTCTTTAATGTAAAAATCTATGTTTCAAGTTTGCTAGCAGTTACTAAGAGTTCCATAAAAAAGTGAGGAGAGGGACTATTGGTGGTACTGGTTACTACACCAGAGAGTGTTTACAGGACCAGGATACTTCATCTTTTAACCAGCCTGTTGGATAAACCATCCACACGCTCTGTAACAGAATACCCAGAACTGAGACTAAAGAAGCAAATAACAAGTGGCATGCTTTCAACTGTTTGGATTTGTCATTTTAAATTGGTATTCTTTTAAGATGGCAGAATTTTAGAGCTTGTATTAAAAGTATTTGATTTTAAGACTGTGATATCAAATATTAATGGACAGACCAAGGTGGGTTCTATCTGCATTACAAATTTATTAATTCTAAATTGGAACTAAAAAAGGACAGGTTACTATACTTTGGGGGGTACTGTAAACATTAATTTGTAATATTATGAATTATTATGAAGCTCTTTTATTTAATTATGTGAAATTAAACCAAAATATATTTTTTCAGAAGAAAGAACAAATTCTGCTGTATCTGTATCTGGCACTGGCATTGTCATCGGCATTGTCATCGGCATTGTCATTACTACTGTTATTGGCGGCATTTTATATTATTTATTGAAGGTGTGTATGACTGTGGGCATTAGCAAACACCCTTCCACACACTTTAGTACAAGATTCATGTAAAAATACAACTTCAGGTGTTAAGGTTGAACCAGAACATGGACAAAAACTGCTTTGGGTTAAAAAACTGGCAAAAGACTGGAAATGTAAAATGAAATAAGGAAAAAGTTGTAGTTAACATTCCCCTCTTCCAGCCACTTCCTGTGGCTTGCAGGCAGCCTCCATGACTCTCTGTACCCAGTGTCTGGGTTGCACTACTTTGGGTGGTGCCTTGGTCAAGTTTTTCTCTTGAGCAACACACTGTACTTAGTTAAATTAAAAATTGCCATAATGAGGTTGAGTGCAAAATCAAAATTAATAGAAGAAACTGCATTCATCATATCTAGGTTGCAAGATGGCAAAAAAAGGTATGATGGATTTGCCTAGTTTGTGTATCATACCGAAGCAGCAGCAGATGCTTGCATTTCCAGAGCTCCCCAAACTATTTTGTCTGTTCCTGACTCCTGAGGCACCCCCAGTAGCCCAGCTGGGGAAGGGTGGGTCTTAATTCCTTTGTAACTTTGTCTAAGCTTGTCGGTATTTCACCATATTTGGCTTTGTCCTATAACAGTTGGGTTTTTTTTCCCTCCCACAGAACAGACTCCGTAAACCAAAACCTGTGTCACCTTCAGAGGTAAGGAGGATTTTCTTTTTCAACTTGCTTTGAAATCTGCTTGGTTTTATGTGGGACTGTTAGGCTTACAGGTGGTGACTGGGATCCTGTCTCTGTAGTTACAGGTAGTTGGGATTTATATATAAATGTTCTCAGTAGCCTCAGATATTAGTATTCTATCTTCTTCCATATTTATGCCCTGTGCCTGTAAAGCCAGAAATGGAAAGACGGGTATTGTTGATTTCTTGGGTAACATTTTCCAAAGTTGGTACAACTTCCTTTTACAGAAGGCTCTTGATTCTGAAAAAAACCCACCCTGGGTGAGCATCAGGGTGGAACACACTTAAATGGTCACCACAGTATAAGGATGCACCTCATAAAACCAGATTTTCAACTGGTTTAGATACATTAGCCCCCAGGAAACACTTTCCCATTATTCTTATGCGGTACCTGATAATTGATAATCCTGCCCCAAGGGCCACCTTCTCATTCCAGCCTACTCCCTTAGCTTGGAAGCTCTTCTGAGCATTAGGCCAAGCTCCCTCCACTCTGTATTCCTCCCTTCAGTGTGTTTCAATCTCACCCACAATTCCCTGTTCCTGATTTCTGATACATCCAACTTCCTGTGTGTGCTGCCTCAAATTAGAGCCGAGCATAGGAGAGACAAGTATTCATCATCCAGCGCAGGGTGTCAAGGGCCTGCAGCAAGGCAGCAGCCCCTGACTTCAGGAGGGCCAACTTCAGTGAGTTGAGGAGATTGGTAGGAGATGCACTGCGGTCCCAGAGAGTAGGAAAAATAGATGTCCAAGATAAGTGGTCGTTCCTGAAGGAGATGATCCTCTGAGCCCAAAGGGTGACAGTCCTAACATGAGTCAAAGGGGGCAAGAGTGCTCAAAAGGTCCCTTGGCTCACCAAAGGCATTCAGGAACATCTGAAAGCCAAAAAGGGGGTATACATCCAGTGGAAGTGGGGGGCTATCACCAAAGAGGATTATACATCCATAGCAAGAGTCTGTAGGAAGGCTGTTAGGAAGGCTAAGGTGGAGACGGAACTAGGGCCAGCAACAAAGATCAAGGACAACAAAAAGTCCTTTTTTAAATACATAGGGAGTAAAAAGAAGGCACCGGGCAACGTGGGACCCCTGCAGGATACGCTTGGCAATCTGGTAGTTGCACCAGATAAAAAAGCAGACCTTTTTAACAAATTCTTTGCCTCCATTTTTTGAAGCAGGCACCAGGACTTCTCAACCAGAAGGATCCAGGACAGACTTCAGAGTGACTCCACCAGGCCTAGGGTAAGGAAGGACTCAGTTAGGGAACTTCTGGAGGGGCTGGATGTGTTCAAATCAGCAGGTCCAGATGCTCTCCACCCTAGGGTGCTGAGGGAATTGGCAGGGATCATCACAGGGTCCCTGGCACGGCTTTACAAGTGCTTGTGGTGCTCTGGCCAGGTGCCAGAAGACTGGAAGAAGGCCAGTGTGGCCCCCCATCTTCAAAAAAAGGGAGGAGGGAGGACCCAGGCAACTATAGGCCCGTTAGTCTTACTTTGGTCCTGGGGAAGCTCTTTGAGAAGATTATCCAGGAGCACATCTGGGAGGGACCAACAGGTGGGAGGATACTCAAGGGCAACCAGCATGGGTTCATTAGGGGCAGGTCCTGTCAGACCAACCTGATAGCCTTCTACGATCAGGTCACAAAATCATTGGACGCAGGTGTTGCGGTGGATGTAGTCTTTCTGGACTTCAGGAAGGCCTTTGACACTGTCTCCCATCCCATTCTCATTAAAAAGCTAGGTGACTGTGGCATTGATGCCTACACAGTCAGATGGGTCACAAATTGGCTAGGGGGCTGCACCCAGAGAGTGAGTGGTGGTGGATGGGTCATATTCGACCAGGTGGGAGGTGCGCAGTAGGGTCCCCCAGGGCTCGGTCCTTGGGCCCATACTATTCAGTCTCGTTATCAGCAACTTGGACGAGGAGATGAAAAGCACCCTGTTCAAATTCTCTGATGACACCAAGATTTGGGGCGAGGTGGGCATGCTAGAAGGGAGGGACAGGATACAACTGGACCTGGACAGGTTACAGGGGTGGGCGAATGAGAATAGGATGGGATTCAATACTGACAAATGCCGAGTATTGCACTTGGGCAGAAAGAACCAGCAGCATACATATAGGCTGGGGAACTTGAAAGCACAG